TGAGCGCATGGTTTTCATGGGATCCAAAAAATATCCTGAAGTATTAAAACATGATAAGTGAATTTATTATAAAATACATTTTTGTGCATTTAAATATCATTGTATTTGCAGAATTTTAATGAATTTATCAGTTTCTATGGTGGCACTACTAATAGTGCAACAGATTGCGAGTATACAAGATTTTATTTTGATATCTCAGTGAAACGGTTGGAACCAGCTCTTGATCATTTTGTTCAATTTTTCATTGATCATCGACCCTTGATAAAGAAAGATGCCATCACGCGGGAGCGAGAAGTCATAGAAAACGGTATATAAATTATAATCGTAATATTGTTGCAGCAACTACAATTTATTTTTAATGTTTCATGTTCACATAGAGTTTCAGTCCAGTTACTTGTCTTGTGACAAAAATAGGAAAGAACTAGTACTGGCCCATATTGCTCGAATTCGTCCTCCGCCCAATAGGATTCATTGGAAAGAGTTAACATCACACACTAATATAGATGATGACAAGCTGTACGAAGAGCTGCACAAATTTAGAGAGCGCCATTATAGCGCTCACAGAATGATGCTAGCTATACAGGTAACTTTAATAATTTACAATTGAAAGATTGATTTCTTATTAAATATAACCAATTCATAATATGTATACTTACTTTCTATATCTTTTTATAGGCGAGATTACCGCTAGATACATTGGAAAAATATGTCACAGACTCCTTTGCTGGAATACTACGTAATTGGCTGCCTTTCGATTCCTTTACGACATTTGAAAACGACAAATTTTTTGATACTCTCGTTTTCAAAAACATGTACAAAGTTAGATCCATCAAAGACATCAGCCAAGTATGTAACTTAGACACGCAAATTCAAAAAAAGGGTGCGTATGCAAGGGTACAAATGCATAAAAATAAAACTTGTCTTTTACAGCTACATGTAATATGGATTTGGCCTTCAATACTTAATAAATACAGAAGTAAACCATTTAAATATATTTCATCGATTATTGAGAATAAAGGAAGTGGATCTTTAACTAGTTATCTGCGTAAAAAAATGTGGGCCCTTGATTTATTCTGTGGTAACTGCGATAACGATAATGGTTTCGGATACAACTCTAAGTATGTTTTATTCGAGATTATAGTAGAACTCTCCCGTGAGGGACAACAGCATCTGAATGACGTTCTAGATGCAATATTTTCCTTTATTAAATTAGTAAAAAAGACTGGTCCACAAGAATGGATTTACAATGAGTTTTATAAAATTGGAGAAAATAATTTTAGGTAAATCAATTTAAGAATAAATTGATATGTAAAAAAAAAAGATATGTATTTAAAATACATAAGATGTGCCACTTATATTTCGAGGTTTTTTTTAGATTTTTTAGTAAGCACGATGACGTGTTTGATTTATGTAAGAGTATGCATTTCTATCCGTCGCGTGATTATTTAACTGGAAAGCATAATTATTTCGAGTATAATCCAGAAGCTATACAAGAATATTTGAATTTTTTGACGCCAGAAACGGTGAATATCATGAATTTCGGCAATGATTTAGCTTTAGATACGACATGTTTCAAAACTTATTGCTCAATTACCGCATTACCAAAGGAACTGATCGAATACTGGAAATCCATTGAGCCATTACCTGAATTTAATTTATCGTTATCCAATGCATTTCTTATCGACAATATCTCTTTAATACCAGTATCAACAGAAACTTCTAAATATCCTGTAAAAGTACACGATAATCATATTTTGCAGATTTGGTATCGTCCGAAGTTTTATTGGCCGACATGTCATATAAACCTTCATATAGTTTGTTCTCTGAGCATTAGAACACCAAGAGGGTAATTAATAACCTTATACATTATAGTGATATTACTACAATTGTTTGTTGATTCTATAATGTCTACTATATTATAATGTCTACTATATTATAATATATGTCTAACTGTCATATTATTAATATTTTAGTACTGCTCTCTTGGATATGTACTGCAATGTATTAAAATATCTATTGATCGAAGAATTACATCCGGCTATAACAGCTGGGTTTGATTATGTTATCGATGTCAGTGAAGATGCTATAGGTATTACAATACAAATGAGCGGGTTTAGTGAAAAACTGCCAGTAGGTATACGTTTTAGCGTGTGTTGGCGAAGTATAATTTCGACTTACATAAATTTTATTTATGTGTATTGCAGACCTTGTTGATGATTATTACAAAACATATAGTACATCTAGCCTCTGTTTCGAAAAACTTGTTTGAAGTTATTAAAACGCAACAATTGAAGGCATATTACAACAAATTTATGGAAACTGAGGAATTCATCAAGTATCATCTGTTTATTATCTTAAGCATAATTGCAACAACTATAAAAAAATTCTTATAGAACTAAAAAAAAATAATTAATGATGAACATTTATTATAATAATTAATTTTATAAGATGAATTATATTTATTATATTTCTTATCATTTCCAATTAATAACATGTGTTGCTTATTTTTGCTATTTTTATTCGCAGGAATGTGAAATTATGGATATTAAAGAGCCCCTACCATACGTACCTTCACAAGTACGAATCTCTATATAAATGTATTTTTCTTGAAGACTTCCAATACTTTGCAAAGTCTTTCAACAATTTTTTCTACATCCAATGTCTCGTGCAAGGCAACATAACGAAAGATTGTACGATCGATATTATGCAATTCTTTATCGCACAAATTAATTGTCAACACTTCAATAGTATTACGAATCAATTTGTTAGAGTCGCTATGATACCCCAACGCAAATCTAATTATTGCAAATTGAAAAATATTAATCACACATATGTCAACTCTGTAATAACAAATTATTATCAAATCGGTATTGCTACAATTGAATCATCGGTGTTAATCGAGTTGATACTAGTAAGTATTTAATAACATTGTTTTATATACATCTTCAATTTATATTTATTTATTTATTTTTAAAAGTAAATGAAATGTGAATAACATTTCTGACATTTTTGATTACTGTGATTGATTTATTTATACATCACATTCATCTGTTAAATAATAATCTTTTAGATGATAATGAAAGAACCGTTAATGCATCTGCTACGAACTGAAGGGCTTGATTATATTTCGTGGGACTATAGAGATATCAACAAAATATCAGGATATTCTATTACTGTTTATTCTCAGGCAAATAAATACACATTCGAACACATTAACCATCTGATCGAGGGCTTTCTGATTTCGTTTAAAATGATATTAATGCAGTTCTCAGAAAGCAAATTATATCATTTCAAAGAAAAGCTGAGAATTTTAAAACAACGTTACGATGCAGAGATTTTAAAAAACGAAGTTAACAGAAACTGGAGTGAGATTACGAAGCAGCAATACATATTTAACAGATATGAAAAGGAAGCGCTTACAATAGAGAACATAAATATGTATAAGCTGATAACATTTTTTGAAAAGTACATGTACAGAAGACGTAATCACAAAAAATTGAGTGTATGTATGGAAGGAACTCCGAAGGAAATTGTATTAAGTAAGTAGATAACTTTTCTGTTCAATCTTTGGTCTAAATATTTTTTGTATTTATGACATCAATCTTACCTTCCATTTTTTTCTTGTCAGATTAAGTTAAAATTGCTAAGACAATTAAAATTTTAAAAATTTATTGTTATAGATGCAGAATCTCATAAAAAAAGTATGTTCTCTTTTTCGGATTATGTAATCGAAAATTTGCAATACAAATTGAGATATTACGACGTCTAACGTAGATGATTACAAAAAATTACATAGTATATGTATATACAGAGTGAATCAGAGTCATTGAATCAATTTTTTAAAATGAGAAAATTATCGATACTTCGTACTAATTGGATTATAAATGTGCCGGTAATCGATAATTTTCTCTAAGGTAAAAAGCTAGTTCAATGACTCTGGTTCACTCTGTATAATTCGGAGGAGATTAATTCTGTCATTCTTAAAGCGCTTAATAAGTAATACTTAATCATATTGGTAATGATGCTAAAATTGTGAATATTATCGTTTCAAACTTCTTGTCATTTTAATTTGTCATATTAATTATATTTGATTTCATAATATTATTGTCCATTTCATTTTACACTTATCCCGTGTAGAAATTGAATCTAGTGGCTGACTAGTCATGAATTAGTAAAACTGCGTTGAACATTATCACTTACACATTTAGTTTTTCTAAATAGTGCGACGAGTTAATGTAACGCTTACTTTTTTAGTGATTATGTATAAAAAATCAACTAATGATTAGAGCTAAGAAAGATTGTAAAGTGATATCATAACATTAGAAAAAACTTTCTAAATACTATCTAGCATCTATTTAGCTGTAATATCTATTTAGCTATAATTAGATACAAAATAAAATAAGTTATTTTTTTTGTAAGTACATCCTGACAGTTTTAGGACATTTTTATTAAGACTTTCTATTAAGACTTACTATTTTTAATTTACTTATTAATTGTTTATTATATTGCTTACCTTATCCTTTACGGCTATTTGTTGCTTACCGTTCATTTGTAGGTTTTGAGTACTCGGATCTTCAAAAAGATGAATCTCATAACCTATCCATTGCGCCATTTTAACTTACTGATATGTCTTTTTTATTGTCGACATATGGTGTAAGTGATTATATTATATATTTTTTTAGATTATAATTTTGACATTAAATAATTATTAATATTACATATATTACAAATAATTATTTAGTTATAATTCTAATTTAACATGTTTAATTGTAATATGTGAAAAAGTTACATTCATTTCCTAAGTATTATCTAGCCTTATAGACGCATAATATTATTTAAGTAATATTTTGGGCATATTCCTAGAATATTAAATGCAACATTTCAAGAATGTTTTACTAAAATTGGAAAATATCAAATTATAATTCTGGAAGTATTTTAATGAATGATTATATGTCCACTTCTGATAATATTATT